CGTTACAAATGCTACTCAGCTGTCTGCCTCATGGGTCTAAAGTAAATACCCCTTCCCACTGGTTTTCCAAAACAGAAGGGGCACACCATGCCTTCATGCCTCTACGGGCTGCTCACAGGAAGGACAAAGGCCTCGTCTCTTATTTCCTTCAGGGCAGAATGAGAGGAACGAGCTTAATATGCAGCCGGGAGCCTACAGATATGGGCTGTTAAGATCTGGAACAGGTGACAAGCAGGTGCTAGCTACACCCTGGGAAAGCTAGCCCTGCCCCACCTGGAGTGGGAGCTGGGCTGAGCAGGCGAGCATATGTAATGTACCCAGCAGGCCCCCCTTCCTTCCTAGATGACTTTGAGAGGTGCCTTCCTGTCTGTGGCATCCATGCTTCCAGGATGAGGCAGGATGGGGACGGTGGGGTTGCCACAAACAATGGGTCCTCCCCGCCCTGGCCCCACGGCCTATTTCCAGCTCCCGACGCTTCCCGGCGATTGAGGAATCCGGGACATCCTGGGTCCAGCATGGTTCACACCACACATTCCTGCTCATAGGAAGCTGCTGAGTGACTCTCATTCCTCCAGCCTCTCCCAGGAGAAACCACATCAGAGGGACAGCAACCAGATCCCTGTGTGTAAGGGAGGCCAGCAGGGAGGGGCAGGAGGCATAGGGCGTCCTACCATTTTCCATCCGAGTCCCTGGTGGAGATGCGGAGAGCTTCCCGGAGGCTCATCAGACAGCTCTGCCTAGCAGGCTGAACGCCCCCTCCACCCACAGGGGCCAAGAGCAGGGTCAGTATCCCCAGTGCCCCCTGTTCCCTTGGCCCTAACATGCCGGTCTCTAAGTCTTGGCCTGGCTGAATCATCTACATGATGCCTCTCCCAGACTGGGTGCAAAGACCGCCACTCGCCTCTCAGGGACGGGGGCCGAGACCCACGTGTATTGAGAGAACCCAGGGGTCAGGCAGAATCCCTGGGTGGCTCAAGGTGACTGTGAAGCTGAAAGGTTCGGGGTTCCAGCCCACCCACACTTCTGACCACCAGCCATTGGCGGCCCCAGGAAGCACCGCTCTGCGCTGACACACGTGGGTCCAGGAGTCAGCGTGAACTCAGCGCAGCTAGTGGAGTGCCGGGAACTATGTTAAGCACCAGAGTCCAAAAGCTCCTGATCTCTGTGTGTCTCCAACCGCAGCGGAAGCCAGAAAAGCAAGTGGAGAGGAAAATAGATAGGACACTACGGGCTTTGAAGAGGGAGTGAGAGATAAAGGGAGAGGGAAGAAAGGGGGGCACAGAGGGCGGGAGCAGAGCAGGAAAGATGAAGGAAAAGAACTGTGTGTGCAGCGAGGAGGCTCCTAAGTGGCCACCAGGCACACCCGCGGCTGCCCAACCTTGACCTAAACCACCAGGTTAAAACCCCACAGCCCTGTGGCCCAGCATCCCCGGGCTACGGCCTGAGAGGAATCCATGCAAAAGGGAGGAGGTAGCGGGGCCCACAAGCAACTTTCAAACGAGGTCAAAAGCCCTCCGAGACCAGAGCTCCTAAGAGCCCACACCCTCCAGTTAAATGAAGGGAAAAAAAAGGCTACGGGCGGTTGGGGAACCCTCCTTCAGCAGCTGCATCTGTGATGAGGAGCCCCACTACTTAGGTCCTTAACTGTAAAACACTTGAGGACGTTATCAGTCAGAGACATGCAAGTGAAAATGGCCAAACTACCATTGCTTCCGCTCGCCAGAAAAGGAGAGCGCGGCTAGCATCTTAGCTATCCTGGTGCTGCTCCGTCGGAACACCTTGACCGCATTCTCTCGCCCTTGAGGAGGCTACAAGTCCACCTTCAGGGCCCCGGTTCTGGGGGGAGGCTTTCTAACTAGATTGGCTCTGACGAAGTTCTTTCTCTCCTTCCAACCTCTGTGGCCCAGCGTTCCGAGGAGATGTCCACACGTCTTGGCATCTGTCTTTCCCTGGACTCAGCAGGTTCCCAGCGTGGAGACCCTGGGTCCAAAGGACATGCCCTGCTCCTGGCTTCTCTTTCCTGGTGCTAGTCAAGCGCCTCCTCCTCTGTCGGCTTCTCTTTCTCTCTCTCTCTCTCTCTCTCTCTCTGTCTCTTCTAAGATGAAAGGTGAGGCAGACCAGACCGAGAGAACCCGCCTCCCATCAGGGCGGTGGCCTGAGTAAGGGAGTGGCATCTCTCCCTAACCCCTTTAGATCAGATCGTAACATATGGATGATGACAGCAAACCACCGACAATCAAGTCCCAGTCAGGTGGACGCCTCTTTTGAGGGGACACAATTCAATCCATGACAGTCAACTGGAGGATCAGGGGGAGGAAATGCCCCTTGAGACGGACTGACACAGCAGGGACAACAACTGGGCTCCAACACACTGAGAATCGGGAGGCTGGCCCAGGACTGCGCTGTAACACCTGAGGTCCCTAAGCGACCCGGGCTGAACAGATGGCAGCGAAGACAGGATCATCACTGGTTACCTATCAGGTTAGCTAAAAACGGGGAGGAGGAACTATTTTAATTAAAATTAAACAAGGCAAGCATATAGTACGTCCACTGGCGTCTCCCTACCTCCCCCAGCACTCAACCCTCCCCACACCACTGGCTCTGGCCCCTCCTGCCCCTAGCCTTGTCCCTTCTCTCCAGGGCTCTCTTGATTTGACTGCGCGGCCTCGTTCTAACACCCACACCTGCTCATTTCACTCTCCTGTTCAAACACTTGAATGGCTTTGGTTTTTATAGAGTATTAAAGAGCAGCCCTGGTGGGTTATTAAGGACGACTGGGCAGGACTTGATAGCGCCTAAAGCAGTCCTAATTCTTGGTGAAGTAGGGAGGGGAGGAGAGGGTGGCGTGGCTGGGTATACAGAGAAGTGGGACGGGGTGGTGTAAAACGGAGCTTCTCTTCGAATTTTCTCTAACACTGGATGACCCCTTGTCCCGCACGATGAGGCCCTGAGACACTGCAAAAGTCACTGCGTGGGAAGGAAGGGCTCCCTAAGTCACTGCGTGGGAATGAAGGGCTCCCTAAGTCACTGCGTGGGAAGGAGGAGCTCCCGAGTGGTGGTGGCATGATGAAACTGTAGGTGGGCTTTTTAAAGTTATGATCCGACCAAGAGGCAAAATATTTTAATCAATCAACAACAGGTATTGAGTAGCCTTGGAAACCATGCAGACTCACCGGGGTCAGGGAGGCACAGCGCAGGTCACTGTCAACCACTGGCAAACACTTACCCGGGTGACAGTGATGGGAGGCCACTGTGGGCCGGTTGCACGCATGGCAGGAAGGACAGGCTTCCTCGTGCCTCGGCACAGCGTCCCCTGTGTGGAACGCACTCCCTTCCCTCGGGCACTCTCCGCTTCCTCGGGGAAGCCTCTGGCTTCCTGTTCCAGGCAGGAATGGACCCATCTTCTCCACCCCTTCGATGCCCAACCAACCCACTGCCATCCCGTTGATGCCAACACACCGGGACCTCACAGGACCGGGCGTGACTGCTCCTAAGGCTTCTGAGACGGTCAGTCTTGATGGGAACAGGTAGCTTCGCCCTTCTCCCTCGGAGAAGCTAGTAGGTGTGACCTGCCGACCCTGTGTGTGGTTGGCCACCCAACGCTTAACCTGCTAGGTCACCAGGGACCTCTACTCCCTTAACAGGCCCCAGTATTAAAATTCTCACTCCCCACACGGCCCTGTGAGTCTTGATGCTGAGAACAGGGAGCAGAGGGGGAAATGGGGTGATTCCTGTGCATCTTCAAAGCCTACAGCCCAGAACACTACCTAGCCCATCATAGGTGATAAATAGATGGCAGAATGAACAAACAAACAGATGCACGCCAGCAGAGAATGCCACAGAGGTCAAGGCTGGGCCAGAGCCACAAAGGGGGTTCAGAGAACCACCTGAGGGCCCAGATGGGCCGTGTGTGTTCCGGAGAGAGGAAGGGCGCAGGACACTGGCCGAGCAGTCCACCCTGGGGCCGGCAGGGATCTATTTAATATGCAGCATGCAAATTCCCAGAAATCAACACTCAGTTTTAATACCCTGCTGCCCAGGGCCACCCACCCTGTTCGAGTCCAGGATTGGTGTTCGGTCTCTTTCTATTTATAACGCCCCACTCACTGCAGTGGTGCACTGCTGACCCGACACCCAGCCACAGAGGTGGGGCAGAGTGGAACAGAGGGAGAAACTGAGGCCGAGAAACAGGACCCCCAGGAGTGCCTGGCAGGGCTCCGTGGCAGAGACGGGTTTTCCAGGTGAGCAGCTCAGGAGCCCTGGTGGCATAGTGGTCATGCATTGGGCTGCAACCTGCAAGGTTCAGCTGTTCAAAACCACCAGCCACTCCATAGGGGAAGGACGGGAGCTTTCTACTCCCATAAGGAGTTGGAGCCTCGGAAGCTCACAGGGGCAGTTCTACCCTGCCCTGTAAGGTCGCGACAAGCTGGCATTGGCTCGATGGCGGGGAGTTTGGTTTGGTTTTTAAACAGTAGCTCGGCGTCCTCGAGGGCACGCCAGACAGCCCTGTTACCACCGCCTGGGAAGGCCACCTAGGCACAGCCACGCTGACGGGACGGTGTGCTCCCCTGCCGTTGGGCCTGCTGAGGGGGTCCTGTCCCAAGCACAGCAGGAGCATGGACCCCCCACCCCTCCGCATCTTCTTCTTCTTTTTTTTTTTTTCAGCGTGGCTTCCATTTATTTTTAGTAATAAAAAAATTTTTCCTGTCTCTTACATGATTGGACACATATTTTGATTTAAAATTAACAGTCACAACTGAAGAAACAATAGTTTATTTTTCTAATCAATTGACCAAGCTGCGGGTCTTAAGGCCTGCACAAGTGTCGCATGTTACTATTTCCATTGCACAGACCTGCTGTTTGATGACGCCTGGTCCACAGCAGTTGCTTCTCCAGTGGTTCCCATTTGCCAGACTGGGGCACGGGGGCTTTTGCTCTCGAGGCCTTCTGTCAAGTGAATCCTCATTCCAGGGCAACATCACACCCCAGTCCATCCACCTCTAGCGTTGTTGGCCAAGGAGTCCTGCTTTGGCTGCTAGAGCGTCATTCTGCTGAATATGATATTCCTGAAATCTCATGGATATTCTTTGTGTCATTTTAAAATATTTCTGTAAGCAATGCTCTGAACATGTGGTCTCTTCAGGTTTCACTTCTCTTGTTGTGAAGTCTTTAACACAGTCCAAAAAGCAGGTTTCCGTAAGTTTACTGTAGGTTCCAAGAAATTCCTTAAACTGTTTTATCTGATCGGATTCTGGTATTTGCGCAGCCATATTCTTTGGGTATGTTGGAGTCACCTTTTCTGATGCATGTGTTTCCTTTCTGTTTGGGGATAACAATTGCTCAACCTTTTCTTGAGTGCCTCCAAGTCTGAGTTCTTACGCACAGGTTCCTGCATCCGATACCAAGAGAGTCTGGGGGCGCTTTGCTGCCAGCGTTTGTGCGTGGCGGAGGAGCAGGGTCCCCCATCTTCTAACACAGGGAATCACGGAGCGTTAGAAGCAGGGGGGGCTGACTGCCTCCACGTTGATGCCGTAACCCAGAAATCACTCACGCCTACATCCTCTTTACAAATGGGGAAAGCACGTATGGGGTCGTCCGGCAAGGCGGCAGCAGAGCCCAGAGCGCAGCCCAAGCTTGCTGACTGACCCACGTCCTTTCCGCGGCATTCTATTCCTTCAGCAAACGCTTGTTAAGCAGAGACGCGCCAGGCACTGCACTTGGTAGAGGGGGCTGATTCAGATACAGTTGGTCCCCATCTCGGGAGGTTTACAGCTTCCAGCGGGGAAGAAGGGAGGTCTCGCCCACTCCCACCGAGTCACTCCACTCGGAGCAAGCCTAGAGCACAGAGCAGAGCTCTCCCCGGCTGCCCAAGGCCATACACCTGCACCGGAGCAGACAGCCTCCGCTTCCTCCCTCCAGGAGGGGCTGGTGGGTTCAAACTGCTAGCTGTTATCGGGAGTTCTGGTGGTGTGGTGGTTCTGTGTCGGGCTGTGAACCACAAGGTTGGCAGTTCAAAGCCACCAGCTGCTCTGAGGGGACAAAGATGGGGTTTTCTACTCCCGTCCAGAGGTCCAGGGTTGGAAACCCACAGGGCTGTCCTACCACTGCCTAGTGGAAACTGCCTCGACAGGAAGGTGGTTTGGGGTTTGTGTTTAGCAGCCCAACCTGTAATCCAGGAGCCACCAGGGAGGTGAGGGGTTAAAAACAGAGGGGGAGACGGGAGATAAAGAAGGATGGGGAAGGAGAGGGAAAGAAACTAAAGACCCCAAACAAAAGCAGTATAACCTTGTGATCGATGGTATGAAACACGGGCAGAAAATAGAAGGCATAAATGGAGGTGAAGGGGACTGCTTCCACCTGGAGCCCTGGTGGCTTAGTGGTTGTGCATTGGGCTAGGAACCACATGGTCAGCAGTTCAAAACCACCATCCACTCAGAAGGAGAAAGACAGGGCTTTCTAGTCCCATAAAGATCTAGTCTCAGAAACCCACAGAGCAGTTCCACTTTGTCCTATAGGGTCGCTATGGCTCAGTACTGACTCGATGGCAATGACTTTGGTTTGGGGACTTCCAAAGGGGGTGGGGGATGGGGGGCGGGGTATCACCTGAGCTGGGCCCAGCAGCTCTCCCCTGGCAGGGAGAGAAGTGAGAGAGGAAACAGGCCGCAGCGATTCGGAGGGATGAAGGCACCTGGCCGGAGTGATCTGGAAAGGGCAGAGGAGGGGCAGCGTGGCTGAGGCATGAAGCTGTGGCCCCGACAGTGGAGGGTGGGCCTGGGAACCTCTGAAGTGAATCCACCCTGGGCCGGTGAGCCCCCACCTTGTCCCAGACACAGGTAACCAGGCCAGGAGCATGAGCACCTCAAGAGGCTGGGACCCGGGGGTGCTGTTCAGGTAAGATGCACGAGCATCGGAAGCAAGAAGGTGGAATTCCAGAGACCACGTGGCGATGGACGTGGGCACGGAGAGAAAGTGTGGGGCATGCTCCTACATTCCTGGTTTCGGGGCTGGGGGTGGTGGTGATGTCCTGAAGCAAGACCACCACCTTTATTTCATGGACCCCCACAGCCTCGTCCTGCTGGCTGCAGTTAGCTCTCCGTGCCTAGAGTCTTAGACAGCTCCGTGCTCCCCACGGGCTCAATCGATCCCTGCACGTTGATCACAAAGCATGTCTGTCTCCACAGCTGAACAAAGCCTCCCTGAGTGATGCCGCTGATGGATGCGGTACAAGCGTGGGTCACACCAATCAGCCTGCCTCACTCCCTAGCCCATCACCTGTCTCAGAAATCCCCGCATGTCAAAGAAGAGGGCTACATGGTCCGTGGTTCCTACCAGCAGAAAGTGCCAGGGCCGTCCCCTGGCAGGGGGCACGGGGGCCAGCGGACACACTCAAGACTAGCCCCTCTCCACGTAGCTCTGTGCACCGGGGGTGGGGGTGGGGGTGGGGCTTTGCAGGGAGCCGCTCCAAGCTCCTGGGAGACTCCCTCCAGACTTGCTCTTGTTGCTGTGAGCTGCCACCACCTAAGTGCGGGCACACCTGCTGCCCCTCCGAAAACAAAGGGGAGTCGCTCAATGGCTTGGCTTCCCAGCGCGGACGCAAGTTCTGCGGACGCCATACTGCAGCGCCCCTGTGAACAAGTGTGAGGTCACAATGACGCAACGTGAGCTCACACTGCTGGAAGCCGGTGCCAAGTTAGACGTGTTCGAGCCGAGGTGGGCACGGAGCGTCAAGCTGTGTGAAAGGCACCCGCCTTCTCTGTGGATCTTGATCAAAGAAGGTCTGTGCCCGCAGAAGCAAGCGAGGCACTGCCTGCGCCGACTGACGTTGAAGCCAGCCGGCGGTGCCTCCCAACCTCAGAGGTCATCTCCGATCCTACAGCAGACAATGCTGGGGTAATTCTCAGAACCGATCGCCAGGCCTTGCTTCCCAGTCTCCCTTGGTCTGGAAGCTGCGCTAAAGCCGGCCCGCCCTCGACAGCCCTCCTACCAGAGGTCTTCAAAAAGTTCACGGAAAACCAGGGCGGGAAGATAGTGACAATGTCTCCTGGACAATTTGGAGCCTCCTCGCAATTACGCTGCCGGACGTGTGGCTTCCCCGCATCACACCCGCAGGCCAACACCGCAGAACAACAAACTGGCGGGTGGTGGTACCGCAGGCCAGCAGCCACCCACTTAGCCATTTCCTTTGGGGGATGAAGAAACAGGCCAACAGGCTAAGCAGTGGCCCAAGGCCTGGAGCTGAGAATGGCCACCACGGGGAGACCTGAACTATCCTTCCCCCCCCCCCGGCCCCCCGGCTCCCCCAGGAAAGCTGAAGAACCCCAGAACATGAGCCGCCATCTGCATCCGGTGTTCCCTGCAGGGTGCTGGGAGCAGGGGCTGGGGCTGGGGGCGGGGCACCGTGATGGATGGACCCTGCTTTCCAGCTGCCGCGGGAGGGCCAGGGAGGAGGAGGAGAAATGGAAAGCCTGGGAGATACTTTCCTGTGATTTGTGCCGCGTGAGATGCCCTGTAGTAATATTTATCCTGCGGCTCCGGCCCGCTTCCGTTTATTATCCAGCTTAGCCTGAGGTCTCACAACCAGGGCGGGGCCCATAAACCACTCCCTGACACCACCAGGACCACGCAGCGGATTGTAACATCTCAGGGAGCGCCTTCAACCCTCCATGGAAATTTGAAGAGATGCGGGTAACTCCTCATCCCCGGGGGACCCTGGCCTTTCTAGAAGCAGACGCAGGTCAACCTGCCTCTCGGCTGCCACCCTCCAGAGATACACCACGCCTGGTATCATCCACGCCCTTCCTGTTTGGCTCAGAATCCCTACCAGCTCACTGCCCCTTTTTTAGGCCTGCCAGACACACCTCCCGGAGGTCCAGAACATTCCTGTGCTTGAACGTGAACCATCTCTTAACAGCGAATAAACGAATACCAAATTAACTGAGCATCTTCTAGCACACATCCTAGGTCCGTGCTGGGCAGCGGCGGCTGAACCCTCAACTGGCTTCTCTCTCAGATCTGTTCATATGATACGCAGGGATGGTCAAAGAATGTCGGGGGGCTAGGGGGAGTGTGACAGGGACTTGGTAGGGAAGAACTACTGGGACACCCAGGTATGGATAAGCTCAGAGACATGTGGACAAGAATTCCCAGAAAACTGCAAACTGTGTCTAGAAATAACAGCGTCGTGGTGTAGCCTAGTGACTGGGTTTAGGTCAGGGCCCAAAACCACAGGGAAAGGGGATCAAACGCCCTGCCCGCATCAGGCTGGCATTGATTGGCAGAGGACAATCGAGAAAGATGCAAAAACCATGTCTGATGTGTTGTGCAGAAGCATCAAGTGGGAGAAGGGGACCGGCGGGGGGAGCTGCTTTGACCAAGATGGGCAGGGAAGGTCTGTCTCAGAGGTCTCCCTCAACAGGGGCCGCAACAGGGAGGTGAGTTGGGAAACTAGTCCAGTCATCCGGGTAAAAGAGGACAGCGTCTCTCATCAGGCTGCAGTAAGAGTCAGCTCTGGTTGGTTTTATAAAGGATGTGCAGCAGGGCCCAAAAGTGTGCTTTCCGATACATTCGCCTTGGAGTCTGTTGGTCGCCCATGTGGAGGCCTGGCTCGCATGGCTTTAAGAACCACAGAACTTTAGAAACAGAAGTGACCTTAGCGAGCACTAGCCAGGAGTCCTGCCCAGCAGTAACTATCTGTAGAGCCTGACCTGGTAGATGGCCACATGGTGCCATCACCATTCGTCAGTCCCCCTGCCCTGCCGGGGACTTCATGGCCGTCATCCCCAACACTCCTGCCGGCTGGGCTGGGGAGGCTCCATCTACACAGCTGTCCACCTTGCAGTTGAGGTACCCTGCATCCCAGAGGCCAAGTGGCGTGGCCAAGACCCCCTCGACCTAGCAGCAGAGAAGAGCGGAGTGATGCTTTCCTGTATGCGACACAGATCCAGTACATGTGAGTCAATTCTGACTCACAGCCAGCGACTGCCGAACTGCCCTCCTAGGTTTCTATTTCCTTACGGGAACAGAAAGCCTCATCTTTCCCCCACCGAGCGGCTGGTTGTATCGAACTGCTGACCTTGTGGTTAGCAGCCCAACGTGTAACCACTGTGGCTCCTGATTAGAAGGCGTACATTTCTGCTCCTTCTGAAGAGTTGTCCTTAATGGGCAATATGTACCCAAGGATCCAGGTGAGAAGCGTTAGGGAAGAGGGAGAAATGGACCAAGGAAACACAGGGAGGGGTGGAGGGAGGGAGGGAGATGACGATGCTATGCTGTAGGGACTGCAATCAGCGAGAGGAAACAAAATGTATACAAACTGTCAAAAGGAAAATTGATGGGTTCTGTAAACCTTCACCCCTTGACAATCAAGTTTTTTAAAAAAAGTTGTCTTAATGCTAACAACGTTTTTCCCAAGAAGACTCACTGGGGGAGAAATCTACGCTATAGGGCATCCTAA